TTCCCCCCCCCCCCCCAGAAATTTCTATCATTAACTTGTGAACTAGTAGCTTTTTTTTTATTTTTTTTTTCTGTTATGAAATATTTGTTGCATTGGTTATTCCAACTAGAAGTATAGTTGCTTGGACTGATTTCATCTCCTATTCCATACTTCCTCTACAGGTTCTTGCTCTGTCATATTATGCCATCTCCTACTTCCCTGGAGGATCAGCCGGATTGAAATTCCTTTCTTCAACGCTTACATCTTCCGTACTAAGATGTTTCGGAAGGTGAGAAAAATATGTGCATTGCATTTGCTATATATAGTCAACTAACTCGACACTTCCATGACCGAAAGCATTCCGGCCTCAATTAATATGTTTTGGCCACTTCTGGCTTCTCTTGTTTCATGAAAGTTAATATATGAGTAGTATGCGTTTTCATCACTTGTCAAGCTCTTTTATAAACTTTGTTTGTTGTGAGTTGATTCTAGTATTCCCTCTGTTTCAGAGTATTTTTTCAATTTTGACTTACCTTTAACCAAAAACTGCCGTAGGCCTAAAAGTACTTATAGTTATACAAGTTTGCTTTGTTTTTAATTTTTTATATTAATGGTCTCGTTTTGGCTTCATTTGGTTTCAATTTTCCTTTCGGTTTATTCTGTTTCACTTGCTTCAAAATTTAGCTAATTAGGAATGATCAAGCAGTTGTTACTCTTGAAAATTTAGATTCTGAAAAATTTCTTTTCAAAAATCTAAAACATAAGTAACACCCAACTAACAAATAATTCATCATTTGGTCAAATTTACAAAACAAAATGCTCATTTTTAGAATGAGTTTTACATTTTTGTCACAAAATTAGAGGGTAGTGTCTCCTAAGGTAAGACTTGGTGTTAAGACAGAATAAACATGAATGTTCCCCAAATTGATATGACATGCAACAATTAATTGGTTTTACACAGCACATAAAATCCTTTAAATTAAAGATGAACTCTATTTAATTATGACCAAATAAGCAAATAATGATCCAAAAAGTTTAGTTCGAAATTGTTTGACACGTGTAGTCCGCTCGGCCTAATCATAATGCACATGTGGTTGACTTGTGTCCTCTTTCACAGTTTCACTCCCGCATACAACGCTAAAATTTGAAGTCAAAACGCATTCAAAAAAAATTAAAGAATTTAAATAATTTCAAAAGCATTCAAGAAAAACTAAAAGGAAAAGAAACGAAAAATGTTATATTACATATATTTTTTTACTTGTTAGTGAGCGAGGAAAAGAAAATAAGAGTAGTAAATAAATTTAAAAATAAACAATTTTTCTTCTATTTAGATGAGAAATTTGAGAGATATCTCTTTTTTCTTTTCCTTTAGAATATCACTAACCAGGCCTAATGTATATACTCCTCCGGTCCCATAATAGATTACAAATTACACAAAAGGAGAAAATATTTTTAATTTTTTCAATTCATTTTATCTGAAGATTGATATAAAAATAAAAAATAAAAATTACATATTAAAAACTACACCAAAAGTTTTATAAAACAAGAGGTGAAAAAAATATTTTACTTTATCAAATAATCAATATAATGAAGTTGAACAAAGAAGCAAAAAAATTACGGTGATTTCGGAATAGTGCACACGAAAATAGTATTTAATCTTCGTTCCAAAACATTTACTCCGTATCTTGTTTGACTTTTTTGAGTAAATGCACAAATTATATTCATCAAGTACATTATATTTGTACTAGCATTAGAAATTAATATGATGAAATAATTTTTTGAATACAACTTTATAGAATGCATATAATAATTTAAATTATTTTCGTATCAATGTATAATATTCCATACAATTTTATTTAATTAATAACCAAGATTTGTTCCCTTTGATTTGAAAATGGAAATTTTAAAAGGAATGAAACACTCCCTAGTTTTTAGAGCGTGAAATTAATTAGACCTGGCAAAACTGACCCGGACCCGATAACCCGAACCGAATAACCCGGAACCGAACCCGATTTGACCCGAAAAATGAAGAACCGAAATAGAACCGAACACCCGAAATGATCCGAACCGAACCGAACCCGAACCGAATGTATTCAGATCCGATTCAGACCCGAATCCGATTAAACCCGAACCGATTAAACCCGAACCCGATTAAACCCGAACCCGGTTAAACCCGAACCCGGATAAACCCGGAACCGATTAGACCCGGAACCGATTAGACCCGGAATTGATCAAATTCATTAATATTTCATTTATCAAATGAATTTGGAAAAAAGAATTACCTATATATTTTTACATATGTTGATATGTTTCTAAAAAAACATATTTAAATTATGAGTGCAAACCATGTAAGTACTTTCATGTACAAATCTTTTATTTTGTACTCCGTATTTTATAACCTAAGTTAAAATATATTTGTATTTTTATAGAAAGTATATAAAAATTATAGTTACATTGTAATACATATTTTATGTAAAGAATTATGTTACCAAAGTTGATTTTCTTTTTTTAATATGCCAATTAACACACTATAAAAAATACTTGAGCATAAAAATGAAGAAAGGTGTCACAATCATGTGGTAAAAACTT